TAATTTCCATGAAGAGCTGGATGTCAAATCGAGTGCTGACTTAATCACAGAGATTAGCACATTTTATGCAACTACCGAAGTGCTCATCACGAAATGTGAGTTCCTAGCATCAGGTGCATGTTTATGAAAGAAACCGATTCGTAGCACATATAAATTCCTCGACCGTAGCTGCTATCTTGACGTGGTGGTAGGGCTTCCCTATCGTGACGGCCCAATCGAGCTATATTGGTTGGAACATGTGTTCGTTTAGGTTCTACCTTGCAAGACAGGTCGAATGGAGAACGGTTAGACGGTAAGAACGCAGCTAACACGTCGAAAACCTCCCACAAAAAAGGCGTGCGCGACCGGCCTCAAGCAGTTGTCCCTTGAGCTCTGCGGTCACGCCCCCAGGCCGTTAAGGCCAACATTAATCCAACTTCCTTTTCAGGTTCCTCAAGAAATACCCTTCCACTGTGTGGGCAAACGTGAAGTGACATCAGCCCTCACACCCGTAACAACACACGAGACCATGTTGGTCACATTCAAATCCTTCCTACACCTCCTAATACCAATCTTATCTCCCCGACTAACCCTTCTCACGTCCTTTTATCAACTCATATCGCTAGGGCAAACGATTTGAGTGCGCGGAACGCTATCCCTGGTCTCCTGAAACCACACTCTAAATTTCATGTTGGAGACATAGCATTGAGTCCTAGGGGAGAACTAGCTCTCTTAGAGTGGATCCCAGTAGACAGTCGTTTTTGCGCTGTCCGACTAAACGGAACAGTAAGGATCCGAAAAGATAGGGACACTCGTCGTTGCCTCTTCGTCGTCCCTGCCTATTCTCCCACTGACTACAGCGCAGATGATGTGAAAGATGAGTTTTACAAAAAGCTCTCCGACCTTCTCCGAAAACCTAGGCGCTCTGATGTAGTAATAGAGGCCAGTGACTTTAATGCTCAAGTAGGTAAACTAAGCGTAGGGAAAGACACCTGGGTGGATCTTACAGTGTCATGGCTCAAAGAACAGATAATGGCGACCATCTGTTGCAGCTATGTTTAAATAACCTCCCGCTTCTTGCATTACTATTAAGATTTGTAAGCCAGATTTAATTAATTGTGCTGACACTGATCATTAACAAATACTTTTTAAAAGCAGTTCAAACAACGTTGAGTGACTTTTTTTAAATCAATAATTGCATCCGTTCTTTATCTTAATCTTTGTTATCATTCCTAATTCTTCTTTTTATGGTTTCATTTGTTCACTTTGTGTCTCTCTTATAATAATGATTTAAAACTAGATAAGAAAAATCTGACTGCCCTTACAAATGGACGATTCGCTAACAATTATCCAGACATATTTCTTAGTAAATGAAGTACAATACTGTCCTCATATTATTTTGATTTTGTTCTTCATGTGCTATTAGTCTACTTCAACTTTTAACTGTCAGTTTTTTTTTAGATAACTCCCAAAAAAAGAGACATACCTTCGTAGTTAATTTGTGCTTCTTTAAAGTGATCCTGTCACATGAACTCAACAACTGGCGTCATTACGGTTTTCGATGATGAAACCGGACTAATAAACAGTGTATTATGCAGAAGCAATGTTGATGAGTAGGGTTACCCATTTACCACCCTGGAAAAATGTTAGCACGTCCCTTAACTGCCGTGGGGTATTGCTATGAGTGCTTATAATTACACTGTTTTCGAATATGTGCTAGACAAGCTCAACATATCGATTATATATCTCGGCAGTTGTTGCGAGGTAAATCTGACAATACATCAGAATGATTATTGATTCATCCATTACTATTAAGCCGTAAAGATCTGAACAAAGAAACTTATCGTTACCTTTAATAAAGAATGGAATGCAAATCTGGGACGTATATTTTCAGTACATTCTACCATACATTAAAAACTGCCTACCACTCCTGATAGAATTTCGTCTTTAAGATCGTTTTGAATTTTTCTTTCATACAGTAAACTAGTACTTCATAGTACAAATCTAGGTGTTCAAAACATTTCCGGCAAGAGTTACACACTGGTGACCTGATATAAATACATGCATCCTACAGCAAAAGACTGTCGCTGTCATCAGTGGAAGTAGACTATATATATGGTCGCAGGTTGTTGCGGTCCGTTTCCTAGTAAATATTACCTATTGTGGCCATTGATTTCCTCTTCAAGTGTTCTGAGGTATTTTTCATGACTTTGATAAACACTGACTACTGTTTATGAATTAAGAAATATCAATGTTGAAAGTATGTGCATGGTACCACTAGCTAATAGTGGTTCCCACTTTGCAGTAGGTCCTGTTAGCAGTTAGCTGACCCTATTATCTGCCCACCGTTTTATGACATTTCTGTTCTAATGATCAGGTGAAACAGTTCTCCAGGACTTCATCGGGCTTTATTATAATATACAAAGTAACATTTAAATGCATATTAAAAATGGTAAGAAAACCAAAGAGGAACAGTGCATCTAATATTACCATTATATCTTAGGATGGACTGTTTATAAGTGAAGGTTCTGCTTCCTTTTTCACTGATGCCCTTACCGAACACGCATTGTAAGAACCTTACAGTTTCCGCTACACTTTCTATGAATCAAGGTTTCTAGTCCGACAAACCTTTATAATACGAAACACGACTCGAAGCAAGAGAAAAACAAAGACTGTAGATTGATAATTAAAATAACACAGTGTCATTGAATAAGAAAGAGAGAATTCAGCGAAGAAAATTTTCTTTTCGACGAAATCATTTGCTTAAGCTGTACATTCATATATATTTATTGGACACATCGCTCCCAAGGATTCTTTTAAAGTGACCAATAGAGTCAAAGGAATTGGATCGAAGGGGTGTTGAATCAATATTTTGTGCACTGCTGAGGCACTGGTTGTTATGACCTTGGGTATGTCTGGTTTTGCTGTCACGCGACCTATCTACCAATCCGGATACGACTTATACGAATCTTCACACTAGGCCAACCAATGACGTTCAACCGGTGTGGGCAGTCTAGCGTCCTTATTGGTCCTATGTCTCCCGAGCCCTTCCACTTGAGTCCAGAACACAATACCAGCTTCGAATCAGAGCAGATCAGAGCAGATCGTTTATTTCAAACATACTCGGTTTATATATCAAACAGACAGACCACAACACACCATAAATTAGAAAATAACATATGTACACAAATAAGCCAAAAAGTGGCTGTGAACGCGGGAGATAGTAATTAATAGACTGAACATAGATTAAGAACCGTAAACCGTATAATAATAAATTATAGGTCAAAATAAAGCTTATAATAAGAGGGATATAAATATACATAATCTAATGATTGAATAGTTTTACAATAAGAATATTTATAGAATATTAGTCCACTAATAGTCCTCGGGAGTTACCTGTAATTTAATCTTCGCTCGGATATAACACTGGTAATTCACGAACTCTGCAGAAACTTGTCCAACCTCTCATCCTTCCTTGGCCCTAATTCCCTTAATGTGTATGTTTCTGTTTTTCTCTGCGCTTTTATTTGATTATTATCGAATTTTTTTAAAATTACTATTTTACATTTTAAACTCTAATCAGTTATTATTATTTATACGAATATTCGTCAAGATTAGGACGAATAGTTTGACAGTAATTGTGAGCGCGGAGTATAGAGAAGTCATTATATGTGAAAATTATATTTGAAATATTCTCAGCGATTGAAATTTAACTAATTCCAACGTTTCGTCCAGCTAACTTGTCTGGACTTCTTCAGAGTAATAATCAAAATTATTACTATTACTACCTCATACAAGTTTTCTTGATTGTTATTCAGTCTATTATTATAACCTTTGTGTTTGTCGCTTTTCTTAATATTTATCAATTGGACTACATTTCCCATATAACTATATATACGACTGTAGATTGAGTTATTTCACATCAAATAATATCTCATTATACCCTTTTATATAAAGACTTACTTCACTGCCAGTGACCTGGCACATGATCAATCCATACTTAGAATCGTGAGGATACAAACGAATGTTGTGCTAAATTATTTCATGAATTATCGCAGAAACCCAGTTACTATAAAAAAACAAACCCAACTAAAGGAATGCGTGATCTACTTAGTCATATGCTTGACCCTACTCTAACAATAACAATTGTATGGTTTACACAACTAATTACGATAAACAGAGATTACAAATTGATACCATGATATGTTAAATTGTCGTGACTACTACTTTTAGCACAGCTACTACACATGTCATCTTACTATCTACTTCTATTTATCGTAGTTTATTTTGTACTATGCCTTACTGTTATCATTAATTCAAAATTCTTCTTGATTGTTTCAATGGTTACATACATGCAACCAAAACTACATATCAGAAAAACTCTGATAGTTAGTTCATGGATATTAGAGTATCTTTTGGACAGATCCCGGCAAATTGAGAAGGGGAAAATTTGTGTCAATCCTAATTAAAATAAATGAGTTTCTCAACAGTGGAGACACATTTACATTGTTTCATTGCAAATAACGAAACCCCGACTGATTAATGCTTATTTGCTTTTCCCTTATTTACTATTTTAGTTTGGAGTGTGGTATCTTACACAAAACCATTGTATACAGGCTTACACCATATTCTAGTTGGTTAAACTATTAGGTATTAATGCGATTGGGAAATTTGATACACCAAGTAAAACTAGCAGCTAAATAATTTCGAAATTTGATAAATAAATCCTATTTTTATAAACCTAGTGAGAACATTTCTTTGGCGACAGATAATTTGTTCAGTTACTTCATTTTAGTATATACATTCCACATAATTTGAATATATGTATCGCTTACTGGACAAGTGAAAATTTACAGCTAGCCATGATGTAGGGCTAGTTGGACAAGGGCTTCAAATAGAACCTGTTCTTAAAAGAGCATTTGTTAATGATAGTCTCACTGAAAAAATAGCTGGCCAAGACATAACAATTACAGAATATAAATTAACCGCAGCTTGAAAGGTGATACCATAACAATTAAATATTTATCATAAGTATTTATTTTATGTAAACAAAAAGGTAGTCAACAATACAAAAAAGGGTTATGTTGCATTTAGTTCTGGATCTGTAAATCCTAATTGTTTGGATTCGAGATTTGTTCCGGTTGGTACTCGTTGTAATGCCGCGACAGTACAACTTTTCAAATTACATAGTTCTTCAATAACTGCTTTTTCACCAATAACACATCCTTGAATAGTACAACTAGGAAAAAGTAAAATGCCAATTAAAGTAGAGGATAATAAAAGATTACACAGTCATTAGATTAAAAGACATAAAAGAAGCATATTTCAATCTGTAGTTAATGTTGACTAACTGCCTGCCTTAATATAATAACAAACACATATCATAATTTCAAATAAACGAAACATCAAAAAAGTTAGGTGAAAGGACTAAAGGAGGTAAAAATAATGTTGAAGAATTAAGATATATGTGCTACGGACATTTAGTTTTGACCATGTTACACAAAACTTTCAATCATTAATATTACCATTTATTAAGAAAAGCTGGAAAGTCTTACAGGCTTTACAAACCTCAGTCGATGAAAACGTATTTGTTCTTATTCAGTATGAAATGCTAGATGATTTAACAATCTCAAGTGGTTTCTCTCAAAATTCTCCACACACCTTTGTCCTCGAAAACCCTTTCCAGTTGTTATTCATCCTTATCATATCTGCTTCCGTTTCCCGACGTAGTGTGTTCTTTGGTATTCTTCTTTTCCGTTTCCATTCAGGATTCCAAGTTAGAGCTTGCCTCGTGATGCAGTTTGATGGTTTCCTCAATGTATGTCCCATCCACTTCTAACGTCTTTGCTTAATTTCCTCTTCAGCTGGGAGTTGGTTTGTTCTCTCCTACAGTAGACTGTTGCTGATGGTATCCAACCAACGCACATTGAGTGTCTTGCGTAAACAATTGTTTATAAATACTTGTACATTTTTGATGATGCTTGTGGTAGTTCTACAAGTTCCAGCTCCGTACAGTACAACTGTCATGACGTTCGTATTGAGGATTCTGATTTTGATATTGGTTGACAGTTGTTTTGAATTCCATATGTTCTGCAACTGTAGAAATGCTGTTCTTGCTTTGCCAATCCTTGCCTTCACGTCTGCATCGGATCCTCCTTGTTCATCAATGATGCTTCCCAGGTACGTGAAAGATTCCACATCTTCCAGAGTTTCTCTATCAAATGTGATTGGGTTGGTGTTCTCCATGTTGTATTTGAGGACCTTACTTCTTCCCTTGTGTATACTGAGGCCTACTGATGCAGAGGCTGCTGCTACACTAGTTCGTGTGTATGGAATAGGAGGGTTAGGTCATCTGCGAAGACCGAATCGTCTAATTGATTTTGAACTGTCCATTGAATTGCGTGCTTCCCCTCAGATGTGTAGGTCTTCATGATCCAATCGACCACCAGGAGAAAGAGGAAACGCGAGGGTAAGCAACCTTGTCTGACACCGGTCTTTACTTAGTATATGTCTGTTAGCAACCAACCATCCAAGACTTTGCAGTGTAGTCCATCGCAAGAATTCTGCCGTACGATCCTGAAAATCTCAGCTACACCATAGTGTCGAAGAAGAGTCCATAAGGTTCTCTTATCCATGCTGTCAAATAGCTTCTCATAGTTACAGAAGTTGATGTATAGTGACGAGTTTTATTCAATTGATTGCTCAACGATGATCGTTAGTGTCGCGATTTGGTCTGTGCACGACCGATCCCTACAGAATCCGGTCTGTTGGTCTGGAAGTCGGGTGTCTACTGAATCTTTCATCTGGTCCAGCGACACTGTTGAAAACGTTTCCTGGTATCTTCATTTATTATTTTATTTGAACACATAAATATTGGAACAAAGGGGCACCGAATGCGTATGCGTAGGTTTCGACGGAGTAGCAGGCGTAATTGAAGTAAAAGTTAGTTTTCTATGGTGTGGGGTTGCTGACCCCATGTCCAACCATCCTCCTTTGCTGGGGTTCGAAACCGGCAGTGACCGTGGTAGAGCTATAGGTGGAGTTGTGTTTGAAAGCAGTGCTAGCGTATTAGGGGATCATTAGTTAATGATAGAAACATAGAGTACTAAGTAAATTTGAGACCAACTGAGATGATCGATATATGTGTCCAACCACAACTATCTCAATGCTGGTTGGCATAGATGTAGGTTGGAAGAAAGCCAGGGGTATTCGAACCAAGAACTTGAATCAGTGTATGCTGCTGTTGATTGTCAGTTTGAGTAATGTTGACAGATGAATATTATATTTGAGTTCTATGCCATAAAACTTAACTAAGGTTAGATGTCTTAGGAGACATGGGCCAAAATCAATCATCGTGGTGCGCTCACTCTTTATTCTAGATCTTAAGCTCTATTGCTTTTCTATATCTTTTATTTTAAGCTCATTCAATTTTTCAAACCATATAGTGTACATTTGATCACCGATTTCACTATCTCCAAATATAATTTTCAATTAATTAATCTATTTGTACACATAGATATTGGAACAAAGGGGCACCGAATGCGTATGCGCCACACAAGTCACTTGATTTGTTTGTGGGCTGTGATACTGCTCGGGTACCCAGACCGGAGGAGGTAGTTGTCTTAGAGGCCCACGCCCGGATCCTTCGACCCAATAATCTGATGCACAAGGCAGTGAGGCAACGTCAGGAGATGCAGTAGTCCCATGGTAGCCGGTAACCAATAATTGGTTCATACGCCATTTGTTCCCTCAGGATCCTGGTGCCCATGAGCATGAATGGTTTGGAATCAGGGTTTTCCAACTCCCGTAGATGGATCCTCCACGTTCAACAACCCGGTTAAAGCGCTTGATATTCGCTTGTCGTCTTCTCAATTTCGTAAATAAAGCCCCCGCCGCGAGAAGGCAGTGAGTAAGACTTCCCTGGCAGTTGCTGTATGCACGTTGCCATGTGAGAACATTTGGAGAAAGAGAGTGGTCTCTCCCCACCCCCAGCCTTACCATTGCATTTGGGGGCATGTACCAGGGCATTTTTATTGATGGATTAAATGGTTATACAAACTTTGCAATTCATAGGACACGGATTTCAAAACTTAAAAATGTACTTTCATACAACCTCTGAGCCATGTCTTGTGTAATCAGTTTGAAAGTCTTTGTATATAAAGCGGTGGCCAAATGTTCCTCGATACTTTATCAAATAATCGGGGTTATTTTTTGTCTAGCTAAAAGTATATACACCTAGCAAATATTTTTATCCGACCCATCTAAAAACTGTCCCAATGACATAATCATAGGATATGAAGACATTAATGTGCTATTTTTTTCATGTAGACTTAAAGAGTAAAGACCGTTTGTTTCCGGTAAAACTAATAGTACACATTGACAAGTGTAAACACAGGCTGTGGGTTCAGTAATTCAGTTTAGCTATCAAACAAGTACGAATGAATAAACTGGCAGGATTTTTCATTAGGCATTCTAATCTATTGAATCTGAGTAGTTATATATGTAAATATGATTTCTTCTGGTAAGAAGTCGGCTGAATCAGTGAGAAACGCTTTGAGTCGAACCAAATAAGAAAAAAATACCTATCATTGGTAATAAAGAATGTCATTAAACGTGAACTAAACCAAATAATAGAACAAGATTCAGCACACTCGTAATATAAAATTATTCGGGTGAATTTCTATGATTCAGGAGACTTTAGAAGTATTACAGTCAGTCAGCTACAACGTGAAGTTGTCGACGCGTTCGACCACTTCACTCCCTATCCTTAGTTCAGGTGTTGACGAAGACCAGTCCTGAAGCAACAACTTGCATTTAGAGGGAGAGAAGCGCATTCCAAACATTCTGGCATTGCTTCTTAGTGCTACCAAAAGACTCTGCATTTTATCAGCGTCTTCACCAAACAGGACTATGTCATCTGCGTATTCTAAGTCGACAAGTGAACCTCCTGGTAAGAGATCAACACCCAAGGATTCAGTCGACGAGAGTGTTATTTCCATCAATAGGTCTATGATGAAGTTAAACAAAAATGGAGAAAGTGGGCAGCCTTGACGGACACCACTTGAGGTTGCAAAAGTAGATGACAGTTCGCCATAAGCCCTGACTCGACTAGTAGTGTTCGAGTAAAGAACCTTTACAAGGTTTATGTACTTCTGGGGTACGCCTTTCAATGACAGACACGACCACAGAATCTCGCGGTCTACAGAGTCAAATGCTGCTTTTAAGTCAAGAAAGACCACCATCGTCGGACGCCGATAAGTATGCCTGTGTTCTAGAACCTGACGAATGGTAAATATGTGGTCGATGCAGCCACGACCAGGTCTGAAGCCAGCTTGATTCTCTCGTGTTTGCAGTTCACGAGTCTTAGTTAGGCGTCTGATTATTATTGAGGCTAGTATTTTAGATACTATATTTGTTAAACTAATCCCTCTGTGGTTGTCACAAGATGATTTTGATCCTTTCTTATATATTGGGACGATAAGTGATGGCGACCAGTCAGATGGGATAACGTCAAATTCCCAGATCCTGGCTAAAATATTAGTCAATCTAACCGCTAAAATTGGACCACCATCCTTAAAGACTTCTGGAGCCAATCCATCTGGAACAGCTGCCCTTCCTCGTTTCAGATTAACTATAGGCTTTTGAACTTCTGCTAGAGTTGGGGGACCTACTTCAATGTTCCATTCACAATGTCTGGGAATGGACGGTAGTTGTAGAGTCGCTGAAGGCCAGCTGAACTGTTTCCTAAAGTGTTCCGCCCATCGTTCTAAACGCCTGGACTGGGAGCAGATGAGAGTCTTTTTCCGAAATAATCTCACTTACACTTGACTTATTAGTTCCAGTTTCTTTCACTAGTCATTGAGCTGTCATGTGTTCCCTATGGCCGCCGCCTTTTCCATCTCTTTTGCTTTCGTTGCCCACCACTGCTCACGGTCGTTGCTTAGACTTTTCCTTAACCTAGATCTGATTTGTTGTCGCTCTTCATCATGTTCAGAACCTGATGGGACGAGTTTGCGAGAATCCATCAGTGTGATAGACCTTGAAGAAATCCATTGGTTCTTTGTAACCGTGTGGTTTAAATCACTAATAGATGTCACTGCTGTTTCCACAGCTGTTTGTATATCTTTCCAAGCAACATCTGGGTCAGTCTCGTTTTCAGAACTACCTAAGTGTGACCTCAGTTGTTCCTGGAACTTACTTTTGGTTTTCTCGTTACTCAACTCAGTTCTAATGGGTCTT